TCAGCCTGGAGAAGAGAAGGCTCCAGGGAGACCTTAGAGCAGCTTCCAGTGCCTGAAGGGGCTCCAGGAAAGCTGGGGAGGGGCTTGGGACAAGGGCAGGGAGGGATGGGAGCAGGGGGAAGGCTTTCCAGCTGGCAGAGGGAGCTGGAGCTGAGATGGGAGGGAGAAATTCTGTGCTGTGAGGGTGGGGAGAGCCTGGCCCAGGTTGCCCAGGGAAGCTGTGGCTGCCCCATCCCTGGGGGTGTTGAAGGGCAGGTTGGATGGGGCTTGGAGCAGCCTGGGCTGCTGGGAGGTGTCCCTGCCCATGACAGGAGGCTGAACTAGATCCCTTCCAACCCAAACCCTTCTGGCACATTTGTCCTTTGCTGGGATGCCCCCCTTGCAGAAATCCCAGCCTGACTTGATTGCACTGCAAGTCTTCAGGGCAGTTTTGACCAGCTTTGCCAAAGTGTCAGAAGGATTTTGGAGCCCAGGAGTGAGTCCTTTGTCCTCCTTCTCTTCCTCCCACATCAGCAGTGCTGAGGGAAGGAGGAACCTGGTGATACTATTGAGTGTCAGGAAATAATTCCTTGAAGGCAAATGTTGAGCTGAACTGACAAGGCCAATTTAGAGATGATTTAGGGAGTTATTTCAAGAACTGTGCTTGGTTCCAAGAGTTGGATAATCCCTTAATATTCTTGTTCCTTTCCTGAGTTGTTTTTTTGCATGTGCTACTTAGAAGTGCAAAAGGGCAGGAGTGGCATGAAGGGAATATTGATGCCTTCTCTTGGTGATCCCTCAGTTTGTCTCTGCTCCAGTTTTACATCCAAGAAAGACTCCAAGCTGATAGATTCTTTCTCCCCCACCACTTTGGAGGTTGGTGTTGCTGGAGAGATATTTTTACCTGGTGGAAGAGGGGCTTGTGAAGGTTAAGTGTTAGGGTGCTTTTTTGTTCTTTGTGCTCTTGTTGATATAAAAACTAAAGCCCAGCTGGAGCTCAAAGGTCACTGGTATCAAGGATAAAAAAACCCACCAAATTTTACAAATACATCAACAGCAGAAAGGGAACCAAGGAGAATCTCCATCCATTGTTGGATGAAAGGGGGAACGTGGCAACCAAAGGTGAAGAAGAAGTTGAAATACTTCGTGTCTTCTTTGCCTCCATCTTAGTCAGACCAGTCAGATCTTTGTGATGAGGGACTAAAGAGACCCTATAGATCCTGGTGACCTTTGTGATGAGGGACTGAAGAGACCCTATAGATCCTGGTAACCTTTGTGATGAGGGACTAAAGAGACCCTATAGATCCTGGTGACCTTTGTGATGAGGGACTAAAGAGACCCTATAGATCCTGGTGACCTTTGTGATGAGGGACTAAAGAGACCCTATAGATCCTGGTGACCTTTGTGATGAGGGACTAAAGAGACCCTATAGATCCTGGTGACCTTTGTGATGAGGGACTAAAGAGACCCTATAGATCCTGGTGACCTTTGTGATGAGGGACTAAAGAGACCCTATAGAT